CTGCTGGGAAGGTTCATGATACGGCTTCGTTGAGGCGTCTGCTTAGGAGTTATCTTGCCGCATCCCCTTGAAAGGAAAGTTTGAGGAATAGGGTCTTCTTTTCCCCACTGGGTGCGGTAGTTTTTTGTTTCTATCTCCCTCATATTCTTTATGATGAATCTGTCCGGATATCCGTTCTTTCGAAGCAGGTCATGGAGTATCTCGAGCTCCATTTCAATAGTACTGGTCGAACAGATTTTTCTGGCTCTTTGCGTTCAGCAGCGGACCAAGTAACGCTTCTGTTGGATAGGTTGGATACGTTTTGATGTGTCATCTTACATGACGTGAGAAATTAGTTCCATAAAATTCGTTCAATAAAACAGACACATTCTATTTTAGTAAAAGGCTTTTTGAGATTCAAATTAGATCAAAAAGTACAAAAAAATATATATCGGGCCATCTACATACACTTCGATTACAGCATTTCATGATTTAGCCTACATATTTTAAGGCCTCAGCCTACTGTTCTACGTTCAAATATTCTGCATTTTACGACCAAATATACTTTTCTAGCAGACTGGGTCACTTAAAGCCCGCACTGTCCCGGAAGTCAGACAGGGCAATCCGGGGCTGGTGCTGGCAGGGTAGATTTTGTGTATTCAAACTGCAATTATGTTAATATATTATTTTCGGGAAATATAAAGTTCGATTCTATTGCCCAACACACAACTTGTCGAAAAGTCCTCCTGGAACTTTTCACAAAATTCGAACGACTCTGTTTTTACTTGGTTTTTAAATTCACTGATATGATCCCCTGCAGCCGTGATCTTCGCGGCTTTTAACATCCCCCTTCTGTGTTGATTTAAGCGAAGTGCTGATGATCGCGGTGGGTTTCTCCTTCGAGCCACCTCATTGAGTGTGGTTTCTATTCTTAGCCCCAAAATAAAGTAAACGCATATACACAGGGCTTTGAATGTGCAGATAGCCCTTTCTGGTCTACACACTTTCTGCCTTAGGAGGAGCGTTTCGAACCTAGACTAAACCTCATCAACAGAACGATCCTCCTATACATATGGCATACTTCCCCTTCCCATTTCAACATATGTTTGCTTCTCGTACGCTTTTTGAGAATTATTCAAGAGAATGTTAATTGAAAACACTTTTGTTTGCCTGACGTTTCGACATCCGTTGCGGTTTCTTCATCAGAAGCATGAGTAGAAAGCAATATCAGAAACGGGTAACATATGCAGTACTTATAGGACATACAAATTACAGCAAACGTATGACGGCAATTACCGACAATTGCCCTATTCTGCGTTTATAGTTTGTTGAGCAGCATGTGGACTCTGACTTGCTGGACTTTCATCACGCCTGGTGGACTCGGGCGTGATGAGTGCTCGGCCATCTGGCTCTTTGGTGTTGGCGTAAGACCATGCAGTGGCCTCTGCGTTCCCCAGGCAGCGACATGATTGGGCAAACTTGTGTCTTAGCACCGAATACGGATTGGAAAAATCGTTGCACTTGTTAATGGTTTGGGGCCTTGGACCCTGACTCAAG